GGGGGGGGGAGGCTGTGGGCACAACCAGCATTCTCTTCCTTTTCCCCTCTTTCTTAACTGAAGTTTCTATTTTTCTACGATGAACAAGTAGTATTTATGCAATTTTAAAAAATGAAAGTTAAAAACAATCAGCTTTTGCCAAAGACCTTTCTTGCTCCAAGCTAAGGAAACCCACAGAGAGCCCCGCCCGCCCCCACGGTGAGTGGGTTCCAGGAGGAGGGCACAGTCCTGCTCCTAGCAGAGGCCCCAGCCAGGGTCCCAGGCCGGGCGGCATTGGGACAACCCCGCAGAGGGCACCTCCTTCCTCAGGGGCACTCACTGGCCTGCCCGTCCTGCAGAAAGCTGAGGTGTCTCTCTGCGAATAAATGCACCCCCAGAGCACACACAATTTTACACCCAACTTCAAGGGAATCTCAGTCAGGGCCAGAGACCTGGGTTAGAATAGGTCTGCCTCTTACTACCTGTGGGACTTTGGGCAAGTGGCTTAACATCTCTCTATGCCTCAATTCCCCCATCTGTAAAATGGGGACAATATTACCGTCTTCCTTAATAGGGCTATGGAAAGAATTACATTAGTTAATCCATGTACAGTGCCTGGCGCACACTAAGTACCCAATGCACTGCAGCTGCCATCAACATCTCCATCATCACCACCATCATCACCATCACCACCATCATCTCCATCATCTCCATCATCACCATCATCTCCATCATCACCATCACCACCACCATCATCACCATCACCACCATCATCTCCATCATCACCACCACATCATCATCACCATCATCTCATCATCACCACCACATCATCATCACCATCATCTCCATCACCACCACCATCATCACCATCACCACCATCATCTCCATCACCTCCATCATCACCATCATCTCCATCATCACCATCACCACCACCATCACCACCATCACCACCATCTCCATCATCACCATCACCACCATCACCATCATCATCACCATCACCACCATCATCTCCATCATCACCATCATCACCATCACCATCATCATCACCATCACCACCATCATCTCCATCATCACCATCATCTCCATCCTCACCATCATCACCATCACCATCACCATCATCACCATCATCATCACCATCATCACCATCACAACCACCACACCATCATCGTCACCACCCTCACCATCATCATCATCAGCATTACCACCACCAGCACCTCCATTATCATGGACACCTCCTGACACCCACCATGGAGCCTGCATGAAAAACCTTTGGCCTAGGGCAGGGTTTTTCAAACTGCATTTTGATGGGTCACAACAGCATTTTTAAAAAGTAGAAGAAAGAACAGAAAACATCAGAGTACATCGCAGCCGAGAGGGGACACTTCAGTTAAACATATTTCTACCAAACAGACACCGCATCCATGTGGGCTGAGTCAGCGTCAGGTGCTCTGCCTGCCACGGGTCCCGGTCAGGAGGCGTGGGGGCCGCTCCTGCCCGAGAGGCTGAGCTCTGGCTCGGTCAGTCCTGAGGCCCCAGCCCTGGGCACACGAGGAGCCCGCTCCGGCTGCGCCAGGGTGTGCCCGCAGCCCCGAGCGCCTCTCCCACGGCCACACCAGGTGGTCCCCCTCGAGCCTCCCGCCCGTCCACCTGTGCGGAAAGGAGCCAGGGTTTCGGGCGTGGCCTCCCAAACATCTAATCCAGTATTTACTAGACAGGACAGGGCCTCAGCAGTAGGGGGAGAAGGCTCTGATAGTGCCCATGAGCCACAGCAAAAGGTGGCTTTTTGAAAGCGACACTTGGGAATCCATCAGAGACCACCCAGAGACCCAAGAGCCAAGCCTCGGTCCAGCCCTCACCTGCCCCACTGCCCCTCGACCAGCACCGACGAACCTCCATCTGGGGGTGAGTTTCCCCGTAGATGCACCTTCCTAGTTCTTGGAAAGGTATCACCTCAAATTCTGGGAAGCTGGAGTCCACCTGCCCCAGAGATGCCCAGAGAGGTTGCCCCACTCCCCAATGTCACACAGCAGCTCCCAGGCCTCCCGCCTCCCCTCCCTCTCCCTCACTCCCTCCCCCGTCTTTGAGGCCATCAGATCCACAGGCCTTGAGGGCAGCATCTGGGTGGGGGGAGCAGGGGCGGCTCTGGAGTGTCAGGTGGGGGAGTGGGGGCTGCCCTGTTTCCCTCTCGTGGGTGGAAGGGGCACTGAAGTTGACATCACACCTCCTGGTTCTGCCCCGGGCTGGTCCCTTCACCCCTCCCAGCCTGTGTCAAATGGGACAACGACACCTATGTCCCCAGACCTTACCCCATCAGGGTAGGGAGGGTCCTTGACCGATGCTGTACCCCACTGCTTGACAAGGGGCAGGGGGTGGCCTAAGAGGACTAATTGTCCCCCCGCTGTGAGGCCGCCCTCCCAGTGCCAGCTCTGCCAGCAGGAAGAGGTGATGTTCCGGCTCACACTGGAACCAGGGGCGCAGGAAGATCACACGCTGCGTGGAACGTCCAGAGATGCTTCCCAGGCCTGCTGCCAGCCGGGTAACCAGCAGCCTGCGGGTGGCAGGTGGGACCAGAGAAGCAGGAGACGCTCGGACTCCCCAGGAACAGCCTCGGGTCCCTCCTGTGTGACGACCGCCCAGGTTTCTGCTGTGGCTAAGAGGAGGCGAGGGGGGCCATCCTTCCTCGTGCTGACGTCGGCCCCGGGCTCCCCCGGCATCCCGTCCGGTCACTCGGCCCGCCCCCAGCAGAGTCCTTTGGGGCCGGAGGTGAAGTGCAGGCTGTGCAGGGGTCCAGGCCAGGGCGCACAGGGCCTGTCACCCAAGCAGCGGGATCCAGCGCCCCTCGCTGCGCCCACCCACCCACGTGCCGTGGTCTGAGACCCACGAACGCCCGGGACATGGTGTTGGTACCGCAGGAGTCGTGTCCCCTTGTCCAAGGCAACCAGGGCCCTGGACCCAACCTCGCCACCCAAGGGCCCGGGGCCCCGATGTCACCCCAAGTCCAGGACACACAGGCCCCCGGGAAGCCGGATGAATCAGAATTCTGACTGAGCGATGGAGGCGGCTTTATGTCCCGAATTTCTGCCTTTCTGTTCTAAAGTAACCATCGGAATAATTTTCTTACAGAATGATAGTTGCCATGACAACCAGAGCAAATTTTCCTTTTCTGAAACAGATGTCTCATTTAGTTGAAAATTAGAATGTGAACAAACCCATGGGAAAAATTAATTCAAACTTTAACAGAGCGCTGAACACAATGTAATCTCTCAGAGGTTAACTAACCCTTCCCGGCGCCTGTGTGCACGCGCGGTAACCTCCGAAGCGGTCCCATTAAGCCACTTGGCCAATATGACCGACCTCCTCTCGCCGGCCACTAACGCGCTTCCCGGAGCCGGCCCGGGGGGGCGGGGCGGGCTGTCTACACCCGCCGAAGCCGCCTGCTCTGTGTGCCTCCCAGCCACAGCCCCTGGGCAAGGGGACGGGCTGGGGGGTCCTTCACTTAGCCTGGGGTACAGCCGCCTCAATACTGGGATGTGGGGATGAAAGAGGCCCAGGATGTCCCCGGTGGGGGGGCAGTGGTACACCCATGCCAGGGTCTGATGACCACAGAGAGGAGTGTGGGGGCTCCCTCCATAGGACACCAGAGACACTGCACAGCCACAGCTCTGAGGCTCTCCACAAGCCCCAACCCCCACCCCGACCCCAGGGAGGCCGGTGCCATCACTGCCCATTTCACAGATGCAGAGACTGAGGTGCAGAGAGGTGCAGAGGTTTACCTGCCCAGGGTTACCTGGTGGCCGAGTGACACAGCCAGGGCTCAGACCCAGGCAGCAGGCTCCCGAGCCTGCCCCCGGCCTCCATCCCAGAGCTGTGGAAACAGGACCGGGAATCCTGACCCACCTTTCTCGGCAAACTCCACTTTCCGGGCCAGCTCCACATCTTAGCTCGGTTAGTCCTCGGGGCAAAGCCGGAGGAAGCTCCCGTGAAAGAGACAAGGAAACGGTGGCACAGAGAAGCCCAGCAATGTGTCTGAGGACACACAGGAGGCCAGAGGGGCCTGGACCAGGGTTCCTGGCTCCTGCCCCCTGTGCCAGACGATACACAGAGGACCCCGATGGGGTGGCCAGGTCACAGGCGGCCCCTCTTCAATGCAGCGGCCTGTCCTGAGCAGCTCCTGAACGTCGCCTGCCAGGTCTCTCTCAACACAGCCGTGGCCCTGCTGGGGCCCCTCTGAGCCTGGCTGGGCCGACAGGGAGGAAGAGGCCGGCCGCCTGGCTCTTTCCCACTTCTCAGCGGCTGCCCATGTGACTCCTTTATTCCAGGGCCTCCCATGGATCCTGTTGCTGTGCCCCAACCCACCTTCTCAGATCCCCTGCTGAGTTCACCCCCTGCCCCCCGCAGATTCGAAAATCTGCCTTCTGCCCTGCACACAGCCCAGCCATTCCCCCCTCCAGGTTTCTGCTCCTGGTGTTCCAGCCGTCTGAAATGCCCTGCCTAGCTCTCCTCACAGCCCATCACTGGTTATTAAGGCCTGGCTCAAGGGCCACCTCTTCCAGGAAGCTTCCCCTGATCACCTGCATCCCCCAAGCCCAGGTGACCCTCCCCATTCTGAGGGTCCTTAAGCTGTCTCCCAGGTCAAATCACTCCTGCCCAACAGACAGAGCCTAGGGCTTCAGGGAGGGGTTAGTTCAAGATGT